ATTCAAGTACATTTTTCTTCTAAACAACTAGCTTTAAATGACTATCATTAAAACAATGAAATTAGATAGTGGAGATTAAAATTTTTTAAATGTTTATTTATTTTTGAGAGAGGGAGAGAGGCAGGCTGCAAGCAGGGGAGGGGCAGAGAGAGAGGGAGAGACAGAATTGGAAACAGGCTCTAGACTCTGAGCTGTCAGCACAGAACTCGATGTGGGGCTTGAACCAATGAACTGTGAGATCATGACCTGAGCCTAAGTCACATGCTTAACCAACTCAGCCACTCAGGCACCCTAATATAGTGGAGATTTTAAAAGACATTAAAACAACAATTAACTTCTGTTTATCAACTCTGTTTTTCAGCCTAAGGGTGTAGTGTTCAGAATAATATTCATTCTGATTCTCTCCCTTCTGCAACACAGTCCATCGTCTCTGAATATTTATCTTTCATTCTTCAATTTTTTTTCAATATATGAAATTTATTGTCAAATTGGTTTCCATACAACACCCAGTGCTCATCCCAAAAGGTGCCTTCCTCAATACCCATCACCCACCCTCCCCTCCCTCCCACCCCCCATCAACCCTCAGTTTGTTCTCGGTTTTTAAGAGTCTCTTATGCTTTGGCTCTCTCCCACTCTAACCTCTTTTTTTTTTTTTTTTCCTTTCCTTCTTCAATTTTTATCTGGGTATACGGCTGCCACTAATGAAGAATAGTTGTAGTTGTATAACTAAGTTCTGGGAAATGGGATTTTGGTAGAAGTGATATATGTGACTTCCAGAAGTGTCTGTAAAGAGAAGATTAGTGCTCATCTCTTCTTCCTTTTCTCCTTCCTATTGGTTTAATGTAGACAAGACAATTGGAGCTAGGGCAGCCATTTTGAATTAAGTGATAGCTGCATGATGAGGTTGACAGAGTAGTGAGGTAGAAGAAGCCTAATGCTATCATTCCAACCCTAGATCATAGATCTAGACATTTTGATGAGAGGAAAATAAAATTCTATCATGCTAACGTCATTGTTATTTGGGGATTTCTGTCATTGCTTTTAAAGTGAATCCTAAGCATTCCTTTTTTATTTGCTTGTTTTTGCTCAACATTTTATTGCCAACATCTGCTATAGGATGTGATGGGAGCTGAACTATGAGAGACAGACATCTAGCAGGATAAATATGATGGTTTTTTCCTAGCCTGGAAAGGGAGATGTAAAAATAGGAGTTAAAATTGAGGACAAAAACCATCTCTAGCATAAAAAATACAGTCAATAAATATTTGCTGAGTGAATTAATGAATATAACAGGTAGCTGTCATATTTTTGAATCAAATATTAAACCTGTCTAGAAGATCTTTTTCCTATACCAGTTAGTCAACTCCTACTAATCTCTCAAGATCCAGCTTAACTGAAACATTTCTGTCAAGCCTCCTCAGCTTCTCCTGGCATTGGGTAGTGCTTATCTCCTTGAATATGTCTGTGCATCCCTTATATCTATCTCTGCTATCATCATATCATATTGTAACTTCAGAACAGTGCCCATGACTTTTCTTCTTTGTGCCCTTAATACTCAACATGATGACTGGAAGGATGGAGGTGAAACAAGGAAACAATTCTTCCAAACATACAAAAATTCATATAGGACTTTCCTCTGAAGATTTACTGTTTTTGCAATTTAGGAACTGCATATATATATATATATATATATATATATATATATATGTATATATATATATACACACACACACACACACACATATCTATGTATTTATATTTATGTATTTATATATTTATGTAGATATATACACATACATACATATATATGTACATATATATATATGTAGAGAGGGAGAGAGATTTTCTTTAAGGAATTGGCTTATAAAGTTGTGGGTTCTGGCAAGTTTGAAATCTGCAGGATGGAATGGCAGGCTGGAGACCCAGGGATTGAGTTGATGCTGCAGTCCCACATCTCAAGGCAATATACTAGCAGAATTCCTTCTTCTTGGGGCCCTTACTTTTTTCTTTAAGGCCTTCAACTCATTGGATGGAACTTGTTACAGAAGGTAATCTGCTTTACTCAGAGTCTGTTGATTTAAATGCTAATCATAATATCTGGATTGGCGCTTGATCAAAAACAAGGGTACCATGATCAAGCCAATTTAACACATAAAATCAACCATAAGAGGAACAATAAAGAGATGTGAGTTTATTTACTAATTTTAAGTTCATGTAGTATTATTTAGATGACCTTGGCCAGGAAAGTTGCATTTATTATTCAGTATTATAGCAAGTCGCCATGAAGCAAGAAAAAACAATTGATTATAACAAATAAGAGAGAGGCCCTACAGAAAACAATTAGAAACATAATCAAATGTGTTTGATAACTTCAAATTCATTGTTACTGCTTATATAAAGAAAGTTCACTCTCACAGAGCGTTTGTTACATAAAAGAATTAGGCCAAGCTCATGTAAACCAAGAGCTGTGGGAGAAAAACAAAAAGAATGTGTACATCAGCAATTTAAGCTTAAAAGATTTTTACTATCAAGATTTTATCTTGATTTAAATATCAAGATTTATTTTATCTTGATTTAAATATAAAGATTTAAATCAAATTAAAAGATTTTAATCAAGTATTTGAAAACCTGAAGATATAATATTTCTTTGCCCAGGACAAGATGTCCTATTCATAGTGCAGATGAAAACGATATAAAAAGAGGGAAAGGAAAAAGTGGTCCCTAGTATGTGTTGATCTAGATTAATAGTTGCAGTGTGCAATGTTGTAAATTTAACTTTTCTTGCTGTTTGTGCACTAAAGTGTACTCAATTGGCCCAAAAGAATTAATGCAACTTCTAAAAGTAGGCCAACTAATTTATAGGCAATAGCTTACATACCAGGAAAACTGGATCAATAAAGTAATGTTATATTTATTTCCAAGAAACCTAGTAATATTTTTCTCATTGAAAAGTGAGCAGGAATGAAGTCAATCAAAAAGTGCTTTTTTTCTGACAGTGGAATGAGCATAAGAAAACACCTCTGAGGAAGGTGTATGAATCACTGACCAGGAAGGCGAGGAGGAAGAGAAGGAAAATGCACATGGCAGGAGAAATCTGATAAATCCTTCTCAACCTGGCAGAAGGAGAATGTAAAGATCTAGGAATTGGGTCAAAATTAAGGCCAACACCAAGAAAGAAAAAAAAAAA